TACAATATATATATATATATATATATATATATATATAACAACTTCTACAACTTTTTTTTCTTAAAAATTCTTCATATACAAATTTTACAATTAAAATTATGTTAATTATATGATATAATAGTATTAATTTTAAAAAAGTAATGTAAACATAAAATATTAATTACATCAACTTTAAATTATTGAAATTTTAAAGTTAAAAAAATTATAAAATTCACACGAAAATCTTAATTATTAAAAATTGATGTAATATTAAAATATAATAACACATTAATAAAATTAGAATTAAAAGGTGATATAATTAGTTAAATCTTTTCATTCTTACTGTAGGACTTGTAATCAAATTCAATTTCTCTTGTACTTTATATCCTTTCATGTTATCTTCATTAAGAATGAAGTAGGTGATCTATAATCTCATTGAAAATCCTTAAAAGAAAAGGTTAATAGTTAGTTCTAACTTCTAATCTTCTATGAGGTCGTATTTATTCTAATATAAATTTTTCTTTTAAAAAATACAATGGAATTTCTTGTAAGCTATCAAAAAGTCTAAAATAAAATATCTAATACATATCATTAAAACTTTTTTTAAGAAATGTTTTTTTTAATAAAAGTAAATACATTTCTAATTTTTTTATATGTTTGTCTAAATTAATTTTAATTTAAAAATGCAATTTTCTAATTTGTTTAACAAGCAACTCGTTGTTTTTGGTTAAAATACTATTTTAGTTCTTATAACTTTACTTACTTTATTTTTAGTCTTTATAATTCATAATAGATATTTTTACTATATATAATTATTTTTTAATCTTTTTTAGTTCTTATAGTTTAAGATAAACCATGTTATTTTCATGTAATTTTTTAATTATTTTAACCCTTGTGGTTAATTTTTTTTTATAATATTGTTTCTTTGTGTTGATATGACAGATGTATTTAACTTTGTATTTTTTGATGTCAAATTTATTTTGTTAGATTTATCTTAAATTAAGTCCATCAACGCTAGGTACGAGAAAAGAAGGATCTTTATACGTAGAGTTACATGAGGAAATGGGTAGAGGAAGAGTTCCCTAGGATTTTGAGAAATTTTATATATTTTTTGTTTGGATATTTAATGATTTCAATAAGTTCTATGTAAGTTTTCTGGACATATTTTGATATTGATTGTTGGAAAATGATGCAAGGGATGTGAGACGAAATGGTTTTAAATTGTGACTATAGGCTAGGTAAGGTTCAGAGAAATTGGGATCAGGATGATTGATGCGTGTTTTTGGGTAATTATTGTATGTTGTTGTATTTTTTAGTAAGTATGATAACTTTTGACCGATTAAAATGTAAAAAGAGTGATTATATGATGAATGTGGGGTCAGGTACATGTTATTCGTGTTTTCTAGGTTGCAAAAATCCACAATGGTGCCGAGCCTAGTTCCTAGCATCGGGTGTACATTCATAGGATGAATGTAAATTTCCAAAATAATTATGCCAACCAAAATTAGGATTTCACCGAGAGCAATTCCTTGAGGAGGTTTCTACCAAACCTGTAAGACCCACTTTCTCTCTTTCTCCTCTTTTTCTTTTTAACCAAGGACTCCCTTGTAGACTAAGTTTAGGTCCATTGATGTCAACAACCCACCATGTCTGAATGCACAAAAAACTCAACTTATCCAGCAATAACACCATGAAGTTCAGAATCTCGTCCATTTACGAAGTGCTTTGGAGCTAAGTTGTGAGGGAAACCCTCATCATTTGCCACAAATGTTAAGTGATGTATACAGGCCATGGATGATCCAATCATGGACCAAGTTCTTCAATGTTGAGACTCATCCCAAGGTTGTAATCCACTCTGTCTACAAGGGTAAAGAGAAGCTAAAGTAATACTTGGGAGATATGTGCTACATGTGATATGCCAAGTGCCATTAGTTTGGTGCCTCCAGCCGAGACAAAGTTGAATGTTTACCATACACTGTTGGAAGAAGCATGGAAATCTATCCAATCCCCTCCTAGACTATTCCCTTTGTCTCCAACACTCTCTTCACTCGTTGTAAAGTTGATCATTATTTCTCTTCTTTTTCTTTTACATTTCATATATTTTTACCTAGTAACATTATTTTTCTATACAGAAATATTGTTCGTCTACCTTTTCTTGAGCATCAAGGTTTGTTTGCTACACTCCAGACTCCTCCCCTTGAAACTAAAGTTAACTAGAAGAACCTCTTTGTTGGCCTCTTCAAAACTTTTTGTTCTGTTTACTAAAGGCAAGCTTGTTATGAATAGAAACTCCAAAAGTTGCTTAACTGTCTAAACATTAAGTTGAGCTCTAATGAAGAGAAAGTATAATCTCAAGGGGAGACACACTTCTACACAATCTTTTTGCTAATGCCAAAAAGGGGAGTAGAAATCGTGTTTTTGAAGAAATCGTATTTTTGAACATTTTTTGATTAATTGTCTTATTTGCTTTGATTCTATTGTTATTGATATTGCTTCACTCTAACTCATAAACATATGCACTAATATAATTCATTTTAGATCATGCATGTTTTCAGGGGAGTCTCCTATGCATTTTATCTCATGTCTATATGCTTTGGTATGAATGTCATGAATAAGCACATGCTTTGAAAAATGGGCTACAGAGGTTCTAGTGTGAAAAATATTAATATACTCTAAACATATGCTTTAATAAACACATTAGACTCTGATATGCAATTTAGGCCATGATAGACAACATAGGCTCTGATATGTTTCACAGACAACATATGCTTTGATAGATATCTAAGGCTCTAATGTACAACATATGCTTTGTTTGGCTAATAACTAGATATGTTCACTTTAATAGGGTCTAAAATGAATAAGAATGTTAATATACATATATGTTTAGTCATCAATAATGCTCTAAAATGACCAATAAGATGACAAGAATACACTAATATACATGCCTTAAACGAATGTATGCATAAAATCAAATTGCTAGTATGATCTTATACACAATGTCTGAAAAATGCATTATTATACTACTATGATGATTTTATAAAGATTCCACATCTCAAAGAAAATCACATTTTTGATAAAAATGATTCTCTCACATTAAGTTATCTTTGCAAAAAACACTTCAACTTAATAAAAAAAATATTTTTTCCAAGACAAGAAAAATCTTAGTTTGAAAAATGTGTTTGTCAACATAAAAAGGGGAAGATTGTTAAGTCAAAAGATGATATTGGATCCCTCAAAATTTCAAGTTTTAATTATAACAAACGGAATGTTTTTATAAGAGAAAATATTATTTGCAAAATATACATCAAACAATGCATAAGATGCAAAATGTTAAACACATGATGTGTCATCAAATGAAGCATACAGTCTTACTTCATAAAATATTAAATGCATACCATTTATAATGAATAAAAAATACTTATTTAATGACTAACTGATTCCTTAACAGATCAAACTAAGAAAGCTCGTTGGAACTCACAAATATGCTAAAGTGAATGAATTCATGCTTTGCATAAGAAACAATGACAAACGGATCCCTGAATAGTCGGGTCGTTACAAAACCTGAACGTTGGGCGCGATTTCCTAGCGCCAAGCGAGAGCAGGAGCTCTCAGATTGCATCTCGTCAAGCAAAATTAAAATTTCGTCAAGCGTGACCAAGAGCAAGAGCTCTCGGGTTGAGTCGCACCAGGCAAAAGTGTAATTTCACCAGGCTCAAATCTAAATCAATATTGTGTAAATTATGAAATGTTTGTTGATTGCTTATGAAATGCTATACATATATATTTTGGTGAGTGTTGGATGTGATGCAAATCAACTATGAATTGCAAGATATGTGTATGACCTATTGGTTTATGTGGAAATGTTGGTTGTGTATGTGGTATTGAGTTGGATTGTGAAATATGGTGTGATGTTTGGGCACAGTCGTATACGTG